GTCCAGTAAGAACAGCAGTTTGATTGTCCTCATGTTTGGCCCACTGACCTACCTCTGTGCCCTGTTCCAGGCTGTGAGTAATGAAGCTTTCTCCCTGAGACCCTGATTTCTCTCCCCCTGGTTTTACGGCACGTGATTTAGGGGCACTGCTTGCAGCCGGAAAGAATTCACAGAAAATTTCTGCAAGTCCTCCCACAAAATGTCAAAAAAAGTCATACTTGTCAAAAACAGCCTATTTCTGGGAAAAGTGGCAAATAGTGGCCTGCTGAATTTTCCCAAGGTCAATGATGCTGAAGACTTTCAAAAGCTGAAAATGCTGTAGATTTGAGTGCTAGCTCATTTACTTGCCCACAAGGTGACTCTGCTCATGCTCAAGAACCCACTGAGAGGCATCTCATTGTGTGGCTTATAAATATAGAATCACTTTGATAAAGTCAATTGGGCTGCAGTGACTTCTGCTAGCTGAGAATCTACCTGACCAAAATTAGGCAAGCCTGACCAAGGAATAACATGGCCTTTTTCCACAAATGATTTACAGCTTTGGGTTTGATTTTTTTTGTTTGTTTGTTTGTTTGTTTTTTGCACTGGAGGCTTGCTCAGTACCGCCACCCCACCACCAGTTCACCAGAGGGCTTGGCAGGGTCTCAGCCCAGCGTTGACTTTGTTTTCTGACTGTTTTGATTAAAGATGTGCAGCTTCAGCAGTCCTCTTGATATCTCTTCAGCTTCCTTGTAAATCTTTTCCCAGGTTGCCACTAGGGCGTTTCTCATTTGTGAATCTGGTACTGAGTTTACCCAACACATATTTAGTCTCCATCTTTCTCTGACTCATCTCCATAACTCCTCCAAAACAAAGATTCATTTCCAGGATACTAATGCACGACACATTTTCTCCCTAAATCATTTTATTCAACCACTCAGCAATACCAGGTTTTGTCACCAGTGCTTCTGAAACCTCATGCTTTCATGACTCCCCAGAGAAACGCTCTGACCTCTTAAAAGCCTCAAAGTATGCTATTCATTATTTCAAAAAGCTCCCATCTAAGCTTGCTCTTCCTATCTGTCATTTAGATATTATTTTTCATCTTCGTCTAGACAATCTATGTCTAAATGCCTCATCTAACACAATCACTATCTTTAGCATGGTTTTCTTTCTTTTTTTCTTACATCTTCCCTCCTGTGCCTCCCTCTGCTGTATTTCACTTGACACTGACCAAATGAGATTTGCTTCCTCTTGGTGTAACCCCCTGACTCTGAGCTACCTTCCTGGTTTGTATCCTCCCGAGATGCCTCACAGGTGTCATACCAAACTTCCTCCTCCCTCATGCTCTGATTTAGTATCACCTGTGTTTACAGGCAACATTGGTCTTCTCTCTTGACTAGTAGATTCCTTGTATTAACATAGATCCCTTTTTCCACACACTATTAACTGTCTGATAGTATGTCTCCTTGGCCCTGATTTATTCCATAAATATCAGTCAGACCTACTTTGTGCTTGTGTGCCTTTTTAAAAGCTTATTAGTTTACATAGTGGAATCGCTAAACCCTATTTATAAAAAGGAAATTGTATTTTCTTTTATGATATTTTAGTCAGATACAAATATAAGTAGGACATTAGTAAATACAACTTTTACACAGTTTTGCGTGTGTTCTATTCTTGATCTACTTGAATTATGTCCTATGATATGATATTGTCTTGCTGATGAGATATCCTTTAAATGGAACAGGTATACAAGGACATTCTACAATGTGTTATTTATTTACATTATTTTTGCTAAAAATATTTCGTATGCATTATATTTATTGAAAATATACCTGGGTCCAAAAGCTTAACTGACCAACTCAGTCTCTTCACTTCTCAGTGAAAAACAACTGGTCTTAGCTGACCCCAACTCACAACAGCCCTGGCTTCATCTCACCTCCATTAAGGACTTTAGAAGAGTTATTCATTTTTGTAATAATGTAAATATAATGAGATTTAGTACATATACATGGAAACTTAATGTCCTTCTAGTAACTATGAAGTAGATTTCTAAACTAAAAATCCATTTTAGAAATAAACTGTAGGCATTTTGAAAATAGATCTATTTCAGCTCTCAAACTGATACTTTAATCTTTGTCAATATGGCAATTCATCTATTGAATTGAAAAGATTTGAAAGACTGATTTTGGTGTTGTGTTTTTTTTGTTTGTTTGTTTGTTTGTTTTTAAGTACTCCAGAAATTGTTTTGAGGGAAGTATTAACAAAATTTCAAAGTAAAATCATCTCTTTCATTGTAAGTTTTGCACAATTTATATTTTTAGATAGGTAACAGTAAAATTATAACTGATTTCAGAATTGATTAAATTGATATTTAAGGAAATATCAATTTTTCAGGTCATGAGTAGGTGACTTGGGTTTCTTCTTTCAGAATATTTTTCCCAGCACTTAGGAGAGTATGAAAATGTTCTATCTGTCTTGGAAGACTTAAACATTACCATACTGAAGGCAATGGACAAAACAAAGAAGGTAAGTAACAATGGTGAGGTCTTTTCATTTTGTTTAGTTGAATATGTGTCCTTTTTTTTTTTTTTATCTAGACAAAGTTGATAATTCATACTTAAGTTCTTCCAAATATACTTGGTTTTGTAGCAAAGTCCAGGAGGAGAAGGCTTGTCAAAATGGTCAAGTATCAGCTGTAAAGTATAGTTTGGATATAATCAAAATTATCTTTGTGAATGATCAGAAGGATGTTTTTCATATTGTAGTACCCGGAGAGGGTTCCATGTCCCAGGCCAAATTTGGGAAAGTACTATCAACTTTTGGAAATAGTCTGAATTTGAAAAAATAATCCAAGTTTTTTGAAATAGAAAATGTCAGTAAAAAAATTAAATACCAAACTACGCTACTAACTGACATTAAATTAGGTAGGCAAGTGACTCCTGGAGACATACTGGGGCATTGTATTAGTGTTATTGTTAAATGTAGACTCCAGTATAGTTTTAAAAAGATTTAAGAGGACTGTAGTGGCTCAATTCACTGTGGTCATACCTGCTCATGCCCATATCCCAGGCAGGTGTCTGATTATAAGTACCTAAAGAGATCTCTGGTAATATGCTCTTTTTCCTTGGCTACCCTCACCACAAGGCTACTGACTGGAAGGCAAGCCATCAACAGCCTAAAAAGTTTAGCCTAAGTATTTGCTGAGATCCCATGGGGGAAAAAGTCTGTATCCTTCAGTCAATCAGCAATCAATGGGGAGAAAGCTGTGCTTCTCTAGCGAAGCTGTTATCTTTGGCATTCAGGCATTTGCAAGAGTACAGCACTCATACATTTTACATGAACTGCCGAAATAAAACCCTGGAAGTGTAGCTTGTTTATTTAGAGCTTTAGCCAGTGAGCTGAATGTCTCTCAGTTCACACTGTGCATCTTCCATTCCTAATGAAGTGAACGCGCACTGACTCACCGCCTCGTTGGGCTGGATGCTAAAGAGGAACAGATTAGTTCATGCAAGCTACACAGAATTCAAAAAACAGCAACAACAAGAATAAAAATCAAAATTGCTTGATTAGCCACATGTATAAAATGCTGCTAAAGGGCAGGACTCATCATATGATAGCTACTGGAAGTAAATAGAGCACAGCATTTAAGAATTACTTCAGAAATTAATTACAGAGGAGGAGTCCCAGTGATCAGTTGTAAGAAATAAGCATTGGCCTGACTAGAAAGTGGACAAGAAAATATGGAATATTAATAAATGTTATACTTGTTTGAGGATACTTCCTCCCCACCCTCCACCCCTCCAAAAAAAAGAAGAAAAGAACTTTAAGTTTTTAATCTTCCTGACTGAAGATTTAAGCTTAATGAGTTTTCTATCTTACAGGAATATCCCAATTGATTATACTTTAAGGGCAGTAGAACTAAAGCAAAGCTAACACTGAAAAAAAAAAATACTTTTAATTCCATTTAGTAGACACAGTATGTGAACACCAAATATGAAACGTGTTCTTGAATATTCTAAAGGAGAGCTTTCTGCCAAGGATATACCCAGCAACTATGTTTTCATACAGAAACTAAATTCCCAATTCAGTCCTGGGAGCAGTCATAACAGGGTCTCAGTTCTCAGGTGAGATGTCTGAAAAAGATATACTGTGTAACCTGCTGTTGTGGCTTCACGTGGCAGGGAGCTCAGCACCACACAGTCTCACAATGGGATGGGGGAGAGAACCAGAACAAAGGTAAAATTCATGGGCTGAGATAAAGACAGTTTACACAAAGAATACACAAAGCAAGTGATGTACAATGCAGTTGCTCACCACCCACATACCGATGCCCAACTCATCCCTGAACAGCACCCACCCACCCCAGACAACTCCCCTAGTTTTATTGTTCAGCATGGTGCCACATAGTATGGGACATCCCTTTGGCCAGTCTGGGCCAGCTGTCCTAGCTCTGTCCCCTCCTAGCTCCTTGTGCACCCCCAGCCTCTTCACTGGCAGGGAACTGTGAAAGGCTGAGAAGTCCTCGGCTTAGTGCAAGCACTGCTCTGCAACAACTAAAACATCAGCATGTTATCAGTATTATCTTCATCTTAAATCCCAAGAACAGCACGATGCCAGCTACTAGGAAGAAAATTAACTCTATCACAGATGAAAGCAGGACACCTGACTACCTAATCAAACCATTGCAGTACAACTATTAAAATTCCCTTCTTTAATATTCCAAGCTTTAATTGAAGTTACTGATCAAAAATGAAAAATACATCCACCTAAAATCAGATCTGATTTTATCTGATCAAATCTAACTGGAAGAATCCTATATAGAAGAGAAGCCCAAAACTGAAGACCTACACACTTTGAGAGCTACAAGGACATGGCAAATCTAGAGTGGCTGCCTCCATTTTCAATGACCAGGATGAAATTTCCTAGGACCAAATTATCTCCTATTAGAAACCAAAAGATAAGTCCAGGCCCCTGTCCTTCCAAAATCAATAAATGGCATATAGAGGTTTCAGTACTACATCTCATTATCAGCAATAAAATGCAAAGGTAATGCATACTGTCAGACACAGTAAAAGATGAATATTTTACCAGAATACTGGCTATATTTAGAAAACATTTTCATTTATACATGTCTGTGTCCTTTGGTTGACAGCAAAAGCTCAGACTGAACCTGAACTCCACTCTGCAGAACATGAGGCTGACTACAAATTAGTCTTCAAGGTTGCCGTGTGCTTTCCGTCCCCTTTGACTTTTCATGGATTTGGGAAACCTTGGTGCCTCTGTCAGACTCTGCTAAACTTTCCCAGAGAAAGTACCATTTCACATAGGCAGTCTTATATATCTAGAAGGAAAAGGAGCAATTTCGTATTTTATTCATTTTATTTATCCAGTTCATGGTCAGATGAACAATCACCACTCAGTCCTTCCTATAGGAAATCTCTGCTTTCCAATCAATTTTTATTGCTGGTTCTCAGTAGATACTTTGCATTAGAGGCAGCTGCAGATCTGGAGCCTGAAATAAACTGCTCAGCTCGTTTCCAAGGAAACTCCTGAGAAAGATGACATGTCAGTCTTCAAGGAAAAGCTAAACAGCAGATCAGAATGTCTGAAAAATATTAAAATGTAATACATAAGTGTTCCTTATTCCAGACATAAAACCCCAAATTAAAACAAAAAAGTCTCTATACTTTTTGGCATACATATAACTAAATTTGATAAAACCAAATTGTGTGAAATTACTTGACTCACATCCTTAAATCTAGTACAAAAGCATACACCGAAAGAGCTTTGTACGTGAAATAGATTTGACTCTTCACATTGTCTTGTGGAGTTTTGTTTGTTTTTAAGTCGCCATGAGTCTTGGAAATCATATACAATGATGAATAAACACTTCAGGTTTTGTTCACAAACATTCCCAACCTGTTCAGCCTTAAGTCAGAAAAATCTCCCACAAAGAGCAATTCAAGTTCAGCTTAACTACAGACCCTTAGTTTTAAATCATGATCAACCAAATTGGCCCTGTTTCTTCAAATTATTTCCAGGTGTAGATATTTTTGAACCAACAGATTAGCAGATAACTGACTCCTACAAGGCAATTAGAGTGTAATTGCTGTGTACTACATTGACCTCTGTGGTTTGAAAAGGTTGTCAGTACAGCTTTCCTAAAATGAACTTTTTTCTAGTCTTCCAGTCCTGTACTATCTGATAAATGAAAATATTTGAAAAAATGAAAATATGCAGAGTCATCTGCAGGACAAAACATTCCAGTCTTCCAGCAATATCAAAACACTTTGAAACCAGGCTTTCTTTGCTATTCTGGGGTCAGATCCTTCCAGCCTAACCAAACTAAGCAGCAGCTGACTGTTTTGGTAGGCTTATTCAAGCAAGTGTGAATGTTCCCAGAGCTTGATGTGGTACAATGAGTAGGAGGGGAGAAAAATCCAAATTTCAGACTTTTTTGCTGAGATAAAGACTTACAGGCCAGCATATCAGATGGGAGAACAGGAAACCCTCCTTGGTATATGAATGGCTAGTGCTCTGCCGCTTGAAGGCAAGGTGCTAAGCTAAAAATGCAGGCAGAAAATGCAGATGTAGAAAGGAACACCTTCTAGCAGGGAAAATACTTTTTTTTTTTTTTTTTTTTTTGTAATTGCAAACTTTACATTAGTGTACAACATACTTTAAATACAAAAGACATCTTACTAGAGTATGCCTGGTAGCTATAGCCATTCTGTTGTGGTGCTGATCCCTTGTGTTTTATCTTTATTCAAGGAAGGGTAATGCGCCTGTGGATTTTTAGAGGAACTTGTGCTATTTAATATTTCATTATTTCTCTCCTCAGGATGGAGAGCCTGTGCAAGTTGCTTTTCCAGGAGTGGTGAGGACATTTTTCTCATCGCTTATTTTTCTTGTACCTGCCAGGTTGATATTTTCCTGATCAAAGTACAAGCTGGGATAGTTCTGTGTTTCCTGTTTGTTCTTCATCTTATATACAGGAAATATTAAAATTTAAAGACTCAACAAACATTTACAGAGGCACTGGAAGGCTTCTTTCTTTTTCTGACATCTTTTATAACAAGACACAGAAGTATAGTCAATTAAAATATTTGATCTTAATATTTCCATTAACCAAATAAACATATCACTTTTGACAAGCTGCATTTTTATTCCAGTCACATAAAAATATTATGAGGAGAAACATTGTAACTCACAGCATACAATCAGTCACTGAGTAAAGAGGTACGTAGATGAAAATAGAGCAGGTATTTCTAGGTGCTTGACATGTTGTTTCAATTGACTTCAATGGGCAACTTGTGAATACTGAAAATCAGAAACTAACAGATGAAAGCATCTTTCTTCTGTAAGTTATCACGCCATAAAAGTGCTGCTATTTGTCAGTTACTCAGTAAGAACAAGTTTTGTTCTATCATTTGTATTCCCTGTAGTCTATAGTTTATGGCAAATGCATCCTGCTGATGGTAGTGAACTAATCTAGACTCAGTGAACATGCAAAAGTTCATTTAATCACAAAAAATATCATTTTCATATGAAATGAAGTTGACAATGTAGAGGTATTCGGGGGTTAAACAGAGGCATCTAGTGATATTTAGAATACCTGGGTTCTTCAGTATGTCCAAGATGTTTGCATGAGCCTGGCAAATAGGACACAGGACCTCCAGGAGAACTTCCAGGAGACCCAGGTGTAGAAAAAGCCCTCTCTGGGCACCAGACTCCATTTTATGTACCTGAATAGCTCTGAGGTTACTGAAGCATTTTTCCCAGGGGAGATGTCACACAGAGGAAGACGTGGTGACAGCTTACCCTGGTCCAACAGTTCCTGTAACAAGAAGAAGTCAAAACACCCATCCTAGGTTCTTTTTTTTTTCTTCTTCTTTTTTTTTTCTTTCTCTCTCTCTCTCTTTTTTTTTTTTTTTTTTTTTTTTTATTATTATTATTACTAGCTGTAGCACACTTCCCTGTCCTCCTGCCTCCATCCTTCCTCCTTGCCAAGAAGTCATTCTCCAGCCAGGCCTGGTCCCCATGTGTTCCCATGTGTCGCCATCACCATCACTAACACCCATGCAGTGAGGTCTTAGAGAGAACGGGGGCCATTTCAGACAATTTCATACATCTGTGCTGCTGGAAGTCTAATCACAGGTGTCAGGTGGCCAAGTGACTGTGCTGGGGGATTTCAGGATGGGACATGCTTCCTTCTCCATGATTTCCATGGCTGTTGGCTTGAGCCTCTCCTAACCCATTACTCTACCATGGACATGACAATGGCCCTGACATACAGGGTACCAACTCTTATCATACTGGAGTGACAATTAAAATTCAGACTTTTTCCATCAGCCTGTTGGTGAAACAGTAGAAATTGGGAATTGTGAGAGCAACTGACCCCAGCAGAGATGCTTCCTTGGGAGAATAGCCCTAAGTGGCCATGTGCTTTTTCCTTTTTCCCCACAAATGCAGTCTGTACCACTCATGGAGCTGTCTCCAAAGTGACTTAAGACCACTAGACCTGTTGTAAGAGTGATCTGACCTTCAGCAATAAAAAGCTTCATACCTAAGCTGTTTCTTATGTTATACTGAGTATACATATTAGATCAGATATTTTAATTCCAAGAGCAAATTATGGAATAGCTCCTATATTTTTAAAAAATGTAAATTACAACTGTCTTTCATAGTTAACGGTGCTTATAAAATGAAACTTTCATCCAGTGGGTAAGAGTGGAGCTTGACCCTGTATAACTTTCTGAAATGCAAATCCAATAAAGCCAGCATGTGTTAATTAGAGCCTATTCTGTTCTAGGCCCAAGGCTGATCATTTCCATGCAGTCCATAAAAAGTGAGATAAGAAGAGAATATTACTTTAGGCACTGCTGCCTCATCAACATAACACATATTCACTCAGATTCTAAAATAGTTTTAATGCGGGGTAAAAAGTATTTAAATAATGTGGAACACCCCACACACACACTGTAGATGGCACTTGCCGTCTATATGAACTGTAACACAATAGCAACCTCCTGGACAGACTTGTCAGCACAATAGGACTATTTTAAAACAAATACTGGAAAAGTCCCCCTTAATCTTTACCTCTTTGTCTTCTTTTCATCGTCCTTATTTCATTGTTTTCATTCCATGTCTTATACCTCTTTTCTTCCTCAAAAGTACAGCAAGAAGTTTCCTCCACAGATGAAAGCCAGAAAGTCCTTTGGCCAGAATAGATGCTAAGTACTTTTTCAAAACTGAATCAAGAAAGAAATGACCTCTGGGTGCACAGTTCTCTTTTAAATACAGTTCTGCAGGTTTTCTTTTGGAGACGAAAGCACTGCAAACTTACATTGAAAGGAAGGGCAGCCAAACATACAAAATGAGGGATGGGATGCTGCAAAATTTCTCCTTTTCAAACTGCAGTCTTTTCTTTGGAGGAACTTTTCTTCCTCCTTTGAAACAATTCTGTGAGGGAGACCAAATGATCTGTCTCTGATAGCTGGGGACCAGATTCAGTGAGCTAGCAAGCAGCTATTAAGCAGCAACAAAAATGACTGCTTCATACCGAGCATTTAAATGTGTAAAACATTTCTTAAAAAAGATGGAAATGAAAGATGAATTCTATTTTCTAGAGCAACCAAGTTCTGAAATAGTCTGCCAATCACTTGGGACAAAAAGAAAAACAAAACAAAACAACAAAACCAAAAACAACCAACCAACAAAACCAAAACCACCACCATTAAAAGAAAAACAAAACACACTGCTTTTTACATGTTGCTTATAATAATGTAGGAAAGGAAGTGTGTTTTATGCAAGAACAAGATGCTGCATTCATTGACAGACATAGCAAGTCTAATTCTTTGCTTCTATGAAGTCATTTATTTTTCTGCTTTGCTCAAAAAAAAGTCTAAGGAAATCAATGCAGCCTTATTATTGGAAAACTTCTTGAATAGTCTAAAAATAAGAACCAGTCAAAGTAAGAGAGAAGATTATAGGAGCTGAAACAGTAATACAGGGACATGCAATTTAGTTACCAATGGTGCATTTATAGTAATTATGTAAATCACTGCTCTTTTGTAGGTTGATACCTATTATAAACCAGAATACCTTGATTTTTTTAATTGCATATTTGAGTAATAGTAACAGTAGCTATTATGTAAATTATAATCCCAAACAAAATAACTGTGAAGAAAAAAAATAGATAAGCAAATGTCAACAATAGAACTCCATGTCTAACATTCTGTTTGAGTGAAAATGAAGTTTCAAATTGTTGGTTTTTTTTGTTGTTGTTGTTTTGTTTTATCAAAATTAGTGTTAAATCAGCTGGCACCAGTTTTTGCCCATGACTAGAATTTATTATCAGATTTTATAGAATCATAGTCTTGGTCTCATTGAAATTGCACTTTTTGCAAATGCACCTTCTTCAGAATCAATGTAAACTGTATTACACCCCTGCTACCTGAGAATAATATCAGGCAGGTATTAGTTTATCCCGCTTATTCATGCTTATCCTGCTTTGAATCCAGTTCATTTGTCCCTTACATTCATCACTATATTTTTTCAGGTCAGTTTCAGTCTAAAATACCATAGCTGTCTAGTATTTTGATGTTTTAAAGTGGACAAAGCAACCAGATTTCATTGGAAGTGAAAAGCAGAGCAAAAAGGAGCACCTTGTATTATTCCTTATAAAGAAAGATAAATCTTTTCATGATGAAGATTACATAAGAGACTGAAGGTAGACAAGTGAAGTTCAAGACAGAGGGAGCAGCTGTGGAAATAAGGCAGTATGCAATGACTATTTTTAATAGTGTAAGGCAACTGATAAAAATACATTACTGCAACCTAATGCGTTTCTTAACTGCTCACAGTTAATTCTTCTTGTATATTTGATTGCTTCAGGCTATCTTTTAATTACAGTTAACATTACATTAGTTTAACTTACCATATATTGTAGGTCCTTCCGCTACAGTGACAAGGGGTTTTGATTCTTGTAATTTTTTAGAAGGTGTTTTGAATCTCATAATTATCTAGAAGGTGTAAGACATCAATTAAAAGATCA